CATATCCCAAGCATTTGTAACATCTTGTTACTGCGATTTTTCTTCGGATTTGGCAGCTTACAAAGCTGACTTTTAGTCTGTCTAGATTTTCTGCTTTTATTCTGTGGATTTATCTGATGTAGTAAGCGCTAATCTTTGGCCTTTAGTAAAAAGTTTCATAAGCGTTACTTTAAACTACATACTTTGTTAGCTGGAAGCCTCTAGAAAAGCTTTTTGAACCTCCTTTTCCCCAACAATGGCATTCAGGTCTCAAACCTCCAGTGTCACTTTTTTGTTGCCTTTCACCCCCACTCCTTGTCCAGCTTCCGCCTTTTTAACTTGCTGCAAAAATGCAATCTGATTCTTAACACCTTTAGCTCTTATTAGTACGTCTTTTTTATTGGTATGAGACCACTCTAGACCGCAACATTAGCATTTCGAAATTTGCCTTCATTGACTTAAGCACATTAGAAAAGATCAGCCCTTCGGTGATCCTTACTAATACTTTAATTATCATGTCTACTCTTTTTTTCTGGCCTTTTTTGTCGATCGGGAAAACCTTTTTATGTTGGCCTCTACCTTCTTAGAGAACATGGCTTGTTGCCGTTTTTAAGCGCTGTCTAATAGACTTCAGTTTCTTTCAGTTCGTTCTATTCCCTTCTTATCTCTGTTGTTGGAGATGTAACTAGCTTAATCTCTTGGTTTCGTTTGGCCATCAATTCTACGCTATTACTTTCTATATGGGCACGATCTTCTTGAGTCTGATTGATAAAACAGTCACGTTACTACCTTCACTGATGTTACTACCTATGCTCGAAAGGCTTTCTTTTCGTTCTGCATATGTAAGAAGAAGAGATGGAACATTTAACAGGCTCTCTTGGCCATAAGACACGTCCTTGTGCTCCCCCCCCCTCCTTTGAGATTCCATTGGACCAGCGGTAGTCGTCCGGGCTTGCATCAAATCGGAAAAATCAGCGCAGCAGTCCACTCCGTTGCCAAAGATAGACGCTTCTTCCTCAGTCCATCCGGGAGTCACCACTCTCCTTCAGTTCCATTAATAGAAACTGCCCTGGCGTTGTCTGATAAGGGTTAAGAATGTTTGTGTGTAGTAAATTTTGGTGTGGGTACACCACAAGCGCGTCAGAAAAACGTGCAACACGCATACAAACCCCTAACCAGAATAGAGAAACGGACGATGCAGGCTGGCGTAAATAATGCACTAAAAACTGCCACCATACAGTCTTATCAGTGGCAGTAAGTCTATATAAGTTGGCCTACCTCGTGCTTTTTGTTCACGTATCAAATAGCCATATTAGATGTGGCTACCCAGCTTTATCCAGGCCTTATTGTCCGGCTTCAACCACTGCCACAGACCCCACAACAGCCAGGACAAGACACCACCACACGCAAACCAAAACAACTCGTGAATTTACCTGTGTTAGTTTAGTGAGAGTGTGATGCATGTATCTAAGGAGAATACTATAACCACCGCTTACTCCTAAACACGACAAGGGGCTAGTTTTTGTTGGCCTGCATCAAGCATTCAGACGTCACTTACAGCAGCAGCAGGAAGCAAAGAGCAAGAAGCACCAGCAGCACCAGCCCACGCTTCCGTATCAATGAACGCAGAGCACGCAAGACTTACGTCCCCACAAATACAGATATACACGCCAACGCCACGCACGCCTCCCAATTCAAGCCTTTAGCCACTTCGCAAATAGCCACACAAACTGTCCGTCTTCACCTCAGATCTTAAGATGGTGCTACTATCCACCGCCCGGGGAAGTACCCAACATGAAGAAACAACCAAAAAAATCAGAAGAAGTAATAGTAATGGTTGTAGAAGTAGCATTTATAGAAGTAGTAGTTTTTTTTTTTTTTTTTTTTTTTTTTTTTTTTTTTTTTTTTTTTTTTTTTTTTTTTNGGGAGGGGAAATGCATTGAGGCACACCGCAGGGACAGCGGTAGTGTGGGACTCAGTGGATTTTTTTTATTAGACCACCCATACCCACTAAAACCCCCCCCCATGCCGCGTGGCTTTTGATCCACTCCGGAACCGCGTTAGCATTACTTCAGGGTGGAGCCACCAGGGAGAACATCGCGTCTCACAGCATTAACGAGCTAACTCGCCACCATTTGCCAGAGGTGCTGATGCTCTCGAGTCCTGAAAGGGACTCGGGGTCCCTGAGGACCAGCACCTTATCTAGCGTTTCATAGTAGGCCGCCTACTTAGCCAGCACCACTATAAGCTTAATGCTTGCCCTTGCTGATAGGTAAAAAGTACCCAGCGCAGCGTGGGTCCACATAAGCCTGTCTTTTAACTGAAGGCCTTTTTGCCTTATTTTAATCCTGCTTGGGCCTTATCCCCGGCCTCTTTTGGGGCTCTTCTGAATAAAGGGCAGCTCCCACTGCCTGCTTCGTGCTTGTTGTCCGTTGTTGGGCAAAGGAAGCACCCTCCTGGGCCTGGACACTCTTTCTTCTGGTGGTTTGAACTTTCACACCGAAAGCAAAGCTTGGATCTGTTATCGTTCTTAACGTTGCCTAAGACGTGTCCATATCCCAGGCATTTGTAACATCTTGTTACTTCAATTCACCTTCAAATTTAGCAGCTTACAAAACCAACTCGTAACCTGCCTTCCTTTTCTACTAGTCTTGCCGTTGCTTCGTCCACCTTTATCAACGCGAGCTTCTGTCCTCTGGCATTTTGCTTTAAGAGAGCTACTTCTGGCTCCTGGCTCTGATGTCCAAAAGTCCTAACGAATGCCTCTTTGAGCTTATCTTCCTCTACAATAGCATCCAGGTCTCGGACCTCTAATGTCACTTTTTTGTTGCTCATTTTGACAGTACCCTGTCCGAATATCGACTTCGCAATTTGCTGTGAGAATGCAGGAGCATTCTGTACACCTTTGGCCTTAATAAGTATGTCTCCTTTTTTTGTAGTGACAACCCTTTGGACTGCGACATTAGCCTTATCAGGGTCAAAGTCTCCCTTCATCGTCCTCAGCACCTTTGCAAAGGTCTGCCCTTCGGCCATCTTCACTACTACTGTTGTTGTCGGATCCACTTTTTTTCTGGCTTGTTTTTCAATTATTAGGAATCTCCTCTTGTTTCTCACTGCCTGTTTTTTTTTTTTTTTTTTTTCTTGGAAGACATTGCCTGCTGGTGTTTTTCAGGGCTGTCCGATGGGCTCCTATTTCTTTTACTTCGTTCTATTTCTTTAAGTGCAGTATTCAGGGTTTTCTTCTGTACATACCGTTCAAAATTATCTCGCCTTTAATTCCTCCACTGCAGGCATCCAAATGTTAATTTTTTTTCTGAGCACCTCCACCTCTTGAAGGTGTTTAAGCGCGGTTTCGAGCCCGTTTTTAACAGCGTTCGCTGTGTTGCCATACTTATCGTTAATTATTTGTAGCGTCTGTGCAATGTCGTCCGTTGCTGATAGGACTTTTTTAAGAACCTACTTTCACTTTACTCTGAGCATAGCACCTCTTTCTTCTAAAGAGGCAAGCTCCCCCAGGGTCTGGTTGCTAAATACTGACACGTTGCTGTCCTCAGTGTCGACTGTGCCTATACTCGAAGGGCTTCCTCTTCGTTCTTTGTCTGTAAAAGACGGCCATGAAACATTCAGCTGTTCCTTTTGACCATGAGACACGTCTTCGTGACCCCCCTAGAATCTGTGGGGCCTGCGACAGTCACCCGGGCTTTAACTGGATTGGAACTGCCAGCAGATTTCCTCAGAAAGGTTACCGCCTGGGGTACATGTTTTTTATCAACGTTTTTCATTTTGGCATCTTTTTCAATGTCATACTAACCCGCAAAGGCCAGCACTACCCTTTTTTTTTAGTAATAAGTATTTAGAAAGGGTTAAAACCAGGGTAGCGGCCCTCTCTGTTACCAGAGAGAAGCCCTACTTGCTCGGGCCGGCCGGAAGTCGCCACTCTCCCTCAGTCCCACCCATGAAGACTGCCCTGGCGTTGAGTGACAAGTCTGAGAATGGTGTTCGTGTAATGTATGTATATGTTGGTACACTACGGTCATCCTAGCGAGACTAGAGGCAGGCAAACAGTCCCACGACCGCGCAGACAACCCAGCAAAGCGAGCTGGCGTAAGGCACTAAGGTGTCGCCAAATAGCCTTCTCAGTGGTAGTAAGCCTAGATTAGTCGGCCCACCACGTCTTTTTTGTTTATGAAGCGTATAGCTTTATCAGCTGTGGATTATCCAGACTCACCTGGGCCTCATCGTTTGGCTTTACCTGCTGCCAGGTCTCCAACGTAAGCCCGGAAAAGGACCCGCCATCTGCAACTCGGAACAATCTGTCAGTATCCCTGTGTTTGTTTAGTGAGAGTGTGATGCATGTATCTGAGAAGAATGTTATAACCGCCGCTTACTTCTATACACGACGGGTGCTAGTTTTTGTTAGCCCACATCAAGCATCGGAGCGCCACCCACGGTGGCAGCAAAAAGCGAAGAAGAAGGAGCACAAGCAGAGCTGGCCCATGCATCCACATCGATGGAGACATGGGGCACTAGTCCCCCATCCACACCACCGCAGATACATACGTTAACGCCACACACGCCTCCCGATCCTAGCCCCTGACCACCACCACTGAGAGCCACCCTAGCTGCCCATTGTCACCTTATATTTTAAGAGGATGCCCCTATCCGCCACCCGAGGAAGCGCCTGGTATGGAGAAACTAGCGAAAACCCCACCCGGGAGTATAGTAGTAGTAGTAGTAGTAGTAGTAGTAGTAGTAGTAGTAGTAGTAGTAGTAGTAGTAGTAGTAGTAGTAGTAGTAGTAGTAGTAGTAGTAGTAGTAGTAGTAGTATTAGTAGTATTAGTAGTAGTAGTAGTAGTAGTAGTATTAGTAGTAGTAGTAGTAGTAGTAGTAGTAGTAGTAGTAGTAGTGTAGTAGTAATAATGGAGAATAAGTAAATAACTAAGTTTAATAACTGAAATTATATTTTTTGTAATAATATAAATAATTACTATTATTATTGTAATAATGGTTTTATTTTATAGAATCGGCCATCACAGTACATCAGATGACAGTACTGCATACAGAAAATTTGGAGATATCGCTGATTATTCAAGAAACTGTCCAATTGTACGCTTAAAAAAATTTTTATGTGACTCAATGATTTGGGACGACAAAAAAGAACAAGAGTGGCTAATAAAAAGTAGAAATCATATTATTAATGCAATTTGTTTTGCTGAAATTGAAGAGAAGCCTTTATTAAAAGACTTATTTTCTGATGTTTATTATACTTGGCCAAGGAATCTTACGTGAGTATTCATTAATATTTAAATATTATAAGTATGTAAGTCTTTATGATGTTATTCATATATTTATGATGTTATGTATTCATTGGGTACTTACGTAATAATACATTTTTTTATTTATCTTTTTTTTACAAAGGATCTTCTTTGCATTGTTTTTACGTTTATTTTATATCACAGAACTATGATACGTATTAGTCAATCAGAAATAGAAGTCAATATATTACTGTTTGTCCAGGTACTAGAGCTTTAACATAGGTTTTAGTTTGATAAGTTTGATGTTGCTTAGTTTTTTTATGTAATTGATCGAGAATAAGATCGACAACCTAGCCAGTGGATGAATATAAAATCAAGAGGAAAAATCATGAGAGCTAAACAATTATTAATTTTACATAAACGCAACTCTGTTTCACCTTTCTTGGTGGATATTTTTTAACGAGCACTTGTAGGAAAAAAGTTAACGAGAAAACGTTGAATTGTTATTCTATATTCTAAGAGTTCGCTCAAATTAAGTTGATACAGTGCGCATTTTTATATTGCAAAATATCTAAAAACTGCACAGATATGTACCGTTAATATAGAGCTGTGTGATAGGGAGGAAAAGAAAGTTTTTTAATAAAATTGTAGGACTATGCTGTACGAGGTATAATTTGTGTTTAAAGCTTACCATTGTCAGTTTAATGAATTTGCATCACGAACTTTTCAATTAAGCAAATCAGAATAACTAAATTCGTTCTAGTGTTTAAAAAACTTTTGGTTGCTCCTGAATTTTAACTCATGCTCTAAGACCATTTTAACAGTATTTAATCTTAAAATTGTTGGCTTTTTAATTTTCCGTATGGCTTTTACTTTTGTTTCCAATCACCTAACACTTTAAAAAGAGAAACAGCGATTCTCATAAATATATTTATGATTCATAAAATTTGCTTAACTCAACAATTAAGGCTGAATTAATGTTTGTAAATTGTATTTAAACTAATGTTTGGATGATTCAAAGTTAATAAACATTCGTCCCACGTATGGCATTGTAATAATAGAATAAGAAATTCCTTATCATACGTTAATGCCTTCTTCGTCTAAAACGTCATGGTTTGTGCTGTATGGTTAATAAAACTGGCTAAAAAAATAATAACTAGTTAAATCATCATGTGAATATGGTCGATAGGCTAAAGAGAGAATGAAAGAGTGATATTGTGAGAAACGGCTTAACATGTTTCAAATGTAATCAAGCGAAAAAAGCCCTTTTTTCTGCTTCTGTTGCACTACTTAAGCTGTTTATTTTCTTAAGTGGGGCTGAAAAATTAAAAAAAATTTAAATATCATTAACAGTAATGTTAAGAAATATCGTTAAAAATGTGTATAATACAGTACAAGACTTTTGTTATCCCAAAAAATACCTTTGAAATAGTTAAAAGGGCCTTCCGAGAATTATGTAGTACTAATATCCATTTTGGTGATAAATTTATAGTTTGAGTAAGTGTTTTTGAAATAGAATCTTAAAATTTTAAATAATAATAATAGTAGAAGCATGATTTCACAAAAAGTACTTTATCATCATATTTTAAAATATTGTTTCTTGTTCTAAAACGTGATACTAATATTTGTTTGATGGACAAAACCTTCCTAACATTTTTATTACCTTTTATTTCGTACAGAAAATGATTTTTTGTAGTCCAAGCGTTTTCCAGAAGTAGAAATAAATCTTAAAGTCAGAGTCTTAATAATATTAAATTATAATTAGGAAAACCAGTGTTTTTACGTGGTCAATTACACTAAGTCCGTAATCAAGATGCACAAATGGAAATGGAATTTGTATTCAAACAAAACTATATAAAAATCTAGAAGTAAAAACCATTGTTTCACAAGGAACTTTTAATGTTAACCGTTTTAAAAAAGATGGAAAAATTTAATTTTCATTTATTTGCATGCGTATAATTTTGTGTGAAATACAATTGCATAATTTATTTAAACAATAAAAAAATGTATGAAATTAATGAAATTACAAAAATTTTACTTTTATAGTCGTGCTCTGCCCTACGTAGTAAATCAATGATTTTAGATTGGTGACCTTGAGAAAAAAAGTAGCGGAAGTGGATTTTGCTTGATTCTCCCCCTTTGCCCCACCCCTCTTGACGGACTTCCGATCCCCTTACACAACCTAAAATCATCGCACCCCACAGCAACATTATTGCACAATACCATGCATCTTGAATTTAACTTTTTTTTTCTTTTAACTAATTTTAAAAAATTAAATCTTTTCTTTCAACTAATTAAAAAAAAAAAATTTTTTTTAAAAAT